GGCTGTTTTCTCTCACATCCTCTCACTTCTCTTGCTCCGGCTACTATTCTGCAGCAGGTTTTTTTGCCTTCTTAAATACGTTATCCCAGAGGTGCTACCACCATCGCTGATGGGCTCGGCCTTAGCCAGCAGTGGGTCTGTTTTGGAGCCGGCCGGTGTTGGCTCTGTTGGACATAGGGGAAGCTTCTGACAGCTTCTTGCAGAAGCCACCCCTGTAGCGCCAATTCCCCCCCGCCCCCGCAACCAAAACCTTGCCACGCAAACCCAATACAGTGCTGAGTACTTATTTTACTTTAGCAGTTATCTGTAGGGAACAATGTACACTCTATATGGCCTTTTTTTTTTTTTTCCTCTACTGTTACTAAATCATTTTAATACTAACAATTTCTCTTACTAGTAACTCTTCCTTCTTGTCCATAAGCACATGTATATATTGGGTGATTTTACTCCAGATGCAGTCGCATGCCTTTTTGTCTATTATTGTCTCAATTTAACTTCATTTTTGTTTGGATTTTACCTGCTGTTAACATACTTGGTTTAAAACCTTTGGCGAGGAAGTTGCTTTCTCTGACAGCTGGGTTGTGATAATTGATTTTGCTGAGCCTTGACCATTAGTATTTAAAAATATTACCATTGATTTATTTAATTTTTCACAGTTCATTTCCCCATTCTTTCCCTCATGGTTGTGATCTTTAGTTTCTTCAGGGTTATGTGGCTCTGGTCCATTCCAGGCCTCAATTCCCTGCAATGAGGGAACTCACTGGTTTCATAGATTAAGTCTCACTGGGCTGTGAGGTTTTGACTGGCATTTTTGGGGTTGTATGGCAGCCTGTGTATGCACATGCATGGCTGCTTTAGATGCATTTCTCAGGGCTGTGCTGGTTTATGGCCCCCCTTGAGGTTATTTTTAACTTTGCAGGAACTTAAAAGGCTTTCAGAGAAATGTCTTACCTTGCAGGCCCTCAATCCTCAACAGTCTGGTTGCTGGGATGGGGGACGAATTCATACTAAATAAGAGCACAAGACTGGTGATACTGCAAGAAGTGAAATGAATGTATAAATGTATGTCCTGACATCCAGCTTGACCGAAAATGTGAAGCAGAGGACTAAGAACATGGGAGAGAGCAGTATTTACTCATTGCTTCCCTCTTCCCCTTGCCCCAAGGAACACTGGTTTAATTAGGACCATGTCTTAATGAGGAGCTTCCCATATTTCAGAAAAGTGACCTGACTATGGTTTTGCAATGGTAGTGTAATTTCTTAGTGTTTTGTATATGTTTATAGGCACTTGGTATACTGGCTAATTTGGGGAGTTAGCTGGGAATGGAAAAATAATGATGTGTATTACTTGTTACAAGGTAAGTTCAATGTAGTATTAGGAGAAAGTTTGAACTGGAGAGGCTTTCCAGTTTAATCACTGCATTAAGTTACCTAATCCCCTCTTAGAGACTACAACTGATGGGAATTCCAAAACTCCCTAGATAAACATGCTGGGAATGGTTAATGTGGAGTTGGCTCTGCTTCAGAGTAGGAAGATGAGTTAGAAGAGTACCCTGTCAGTTCTGTTTATTTACATTTGCTATAGCTGATACTAAACAAGACATTGGAGGAGTCTTTTTTTGTCATTGATTTATTAGGACTTTAAGTCCTTGGATGAAAATATTTAGCTGAGGTGAATCCGGAGTAATTAAAATAAATTTGAATATTTGGCCAAGTGATGGTTCAGTGCTTTCGGGACTGAAATAATCTTAACAAAGCCTTCTGTACCCATTTTAAAAGTGAGTTTTGGCGTGTGTATGGGGTCACCTTTTAGTTTATGTTCTAAGATTTGCTTCAGCCAAAGCAAAAGCAGAATGATTAGGATTAAGACTGAGGCTAAGTCAGTATTAAAATGTGAATGTTCACCTCATTTCTGTGGGGTAAATCCCACTTGGAGGGATTCATATTCAGTCACATGCAGTCAGTTATGTTGCATCATATCTAAAACAAGTTTGCATTGTCTAGTTATTGCAATGCTTTTGGTCACTTTATTCTGAAGTATTGCAAGGAATATTTCACCAAGAGTGCCGACAAGGCCTGCATAAGCTTGCAGCTACATAAATGTGCCTATTCGACAAGAAGTGACCAAGCTTGCGTTTATGAAGTGGGAATCAAAAAGCGTCAATGCTCTGATACACTGGGTGGTGAATGGATAGGAAGACAGAATTGGTTTTTATTTACTTTTTGGTGGATTGTTTCTGACAGCTGAAGTCTCCACGTGAAACTGGGGGAAAACTAAAATTCAGTATTTTCTTACAACTCAAGTGAAATGATGACATTGAATTTGTGCAATACTAGAGAAGGATAGAGTTCTCTAATGAAGCTTTCCGCAAAGCAAGAATGGCTTTTATTGAATTAGGTGGTGTCCCAACAGTGCCAAGTCTACAAAGAAGAGTTGCTAGAATGAAGGATTTTTTAGCTTTTGGGTATCTCTTGATGACTTCAGATCATCAGTGGAAGAGAAATCAAAAACCTGACAAACCTGTTCAGTTTGCTTTCTTAAGCTTCTGGTATGTTTAGGACTTTGCTGTTAAAAATCTTAGATGCAAATAATTTATTTAGTTGTTATGTAGCATGTATGTAAAAGTTGGTTTGTTAATTTTCCAGACGGCACACTGCCTTCTGAGGAGGAAAGAAATTCTGATAATGGCTTTTAATTTAGTTCAGTTTTTGACTGCTGGTGGGTTGACTTTGGTTAATACCTAGGAATTGCTTGAAGAAGACTTGCTTGTGGTTAGTCCCACCACGAATTAGGTCATAAAAACTTAGTGTACATGACAGGTTAATTTTCAGTCATTGGCTGGGTAATGCTGGTGGTGCTATTTGCGTTTCTTTAGGTACTTGTTATAAGAGTCTTCAGTCTATGGTTTTCTGTGGCTCAAGCCATGATTTTTTTCATCAACATCATTTTTCATCAACCATGATTTTTTTTCATCAACATCCTCATGGAGTTGAAGTTTAATCCAATTGTACTTACTGCATTAACTGATGGACATATTTGCATGGCATCTTTATTAAAAATAAAAAATAAATATGTATATAGAAAAGCAGCTGGTAACTTAGACTTATCTGCTTTACACCACTGAATTTCTTAGTTGTATCGGTACATTCTATGTTCAAGCATCTTAAATTCATTAACCGAGCTTAAAAAAACTCCAGTCTGCTAAGGACTTTATTGCTGTGTTTAAAAGTTTGTTAAATAATTTTTTTTGGTTTGCTTCATTTCTTATTTTGTCCCATGTTTTAAATTTAGGATACTGATAGATTTCTCTGACATACACTAAGGGAGTAAATCATGCAGTCTAGCTGCAGGTATCTAGGCTTGATAGAGGATTGATTTAGCAAAGTGAATGTCTTATTCCAACTCACCAGGATGTTTAGGTTGGATAGCAAAGCTAGACTTGCTCTATCATCTGTAAATACTACATTTTTTTTCTCATAGATAATATTTTCTGGCCAGGAACTTTAATTAAAGCTAAGCAAGAGACACTATTGATGTTTGATTTCCACTGTCCAAAATACAAGCAAATCTATAAGTAATGTTACGGGTACAATTAAATGTAGGTACAAAACACCACCATGCAGATTATATCACTCATTCTTTTTACTGTGCCTGGGTATAAATTTTTATTAGTTTTTCATGCATCATTCCCACCACAGATCCTCAAACATGTTTCAGTGTTGAATACAAATCTTGCCATAATTCTAGATGCACGCTTCAGTCACTGGAACTTAAAAACCAAAATACGTGCTGTGAGCAAATTGGAATAAATTGTAAAATTTTGGGTGATGTAATGCAAGGGATTAAAAGGTAAGTATATATCATAAAAATGTAAGCATATCTCGTAAAGGTATTTATCTTTGTAATATGACTTTTTCAGGGTCTCTTGACAACAGGAGTAGAATTTGAATCTCTTCCTGCAGCCCTTTCTCTACCTGCAGAATCTGGTCTCTATCCAGTAACTCTTGTTGGTGTTCCTCAAACTACTGGACAGATCACCATCAATGGTAAGGGCTGTCTTTAGTCATTGTCTTCCTAGCAAAATAACTGTGTGGTTTACGTCTCTGTGGATTACGTAAGTTTGTATGACACATACATATTTGCCACTCTGAATTCACCTCAGTAAGTAAAAGAAAAAACAAGCGAAGAAAACTAGACTTCATAAAAAGCATAGCCTGAAAAATCGTTTGTTGTAATAGCAGTGATGAACACATATTTGCAGTATCTCACATGTGAGAGGAAAAGGATAATGAACTCAGACTCCCCTTTATGAATGCTTTCATTTGGAAAGCTTCTGAGGAGGATTAATTGAACTTTTTCATGAGAATGCAGAAGATAATCTTGCAGTTCGTTTTTCTCAATTAATCGTTTTCATGTAAGTTTACAGAAATTTTTGCAGATTGCTTCAGTAGAAACAATTTAGCCAATTTGTGTAGCCTGTTGCAGTTGAGATATCATTTCATTAATAAGCCTAAATAAAATTGTGTTTGTAGTAAGTAAAGAGAATTAAAGAGCTTTTGTAGAAGACAAGCAGATCAGTCTCCTGGAAAAGGAGGTATGTGTGAGGGTGGTAGATTCAACAAGTAGTAGGACTGAATCATCTTTCCAACACACAATTTTAGGTACGTGTTTGTGGAATAGACTGTTACAGGAAAAGAACCATTTCAATAAAGCTAAGCACCGCAAGAAGATGGCTTTGAACTTGAAGAAACTCTGTTCTCACTGAGTTTTTCTTAAGTATTTCAGTAAATACAGAATAGCATCAAAGCATTCAGAACATTTGTGCTGTAGTTGTCTGCTTTTAGTTTCACATACTAAAAATGTATTGCAAGTAGAGGAGTTGATTTCTGTACTTGGCGGCTGTTTATGTGTCAATATATCCATTTTCCCTTCAGATACAGCTTGTATATATTGCCTGGTAAGGAATGGTATAGAGGTACTTTCCTACTAAATTGAACTTTTAGAGAATAAGCTGTGGTTTTTCATGGCAGATGTCTCTGTGTGTATGCATACACACTTTTTTTTTCCTAATTAATTTCCTTGAGGATTCTTTTTTCCTTCACTCTGGATACACGTAAGACTCTTCCCTATAAACATTTTTTAGAGGAAATAGGAAACTGTTGACATGTTGAAGAGTAACAAGTTTTATATGCAGCAGGTGATGTAGTATAAAATGGTGGCCTCTATACTATGACTTTTGATGTTGATCTTGTAAAGGATTGTACAGAACTTACCACAATTTGTGGTAGAATTCATGGACTTTTTATTTTATTTTTTTAATTTACATGCCAGAAACACAAGGGTGCACGTGTGTTGTTTGTATGTTGTCATGTAGTTATAAGTGTTATTTAGGGGGTTTGAAAACTTTTTACATACTAGTACTTTTAGACCTTTCTGAAAACGGAAAAATTCACAACAATACTGGTGTTGTCTTCTAACAATCAGGTTACCATACTTCAGTTTTTGGCGTCTTCAGTGATTGCCTTCTGGACAATCTGCCAGGAGTGAAGACCAATGGCTGCAGTGTTGAAGTCATTCCAGCTTTGCCAAGGCTGCAGATCAGTACCTCCCTTCCAAGGTGAGAAACTGAATTGAATTATGGTTTTATTTGGGCTTATTTAAGCGTTAGTCACATGCTGAATAAAAACTCCTTCATCTGGGTATATCATCAGTGCTTTAGTAATACAAGACATAAACTATATCTGTGCTGTTTACTTTAGAATGTAAATCTAAGTTTTTTGTTTTGCCACTTGAAACCCTGGAATTCCATAGAAAATATTTTGAGATTTAATTAACTGAGGGAGTATAATAATCATTATTAAAGTCATAGTTTTAAAAGACCGAATCCTTTAAAGTCTAAATGTTTGTGGAATCTTGAAGTAAAGAGGTGATCCATGGAGTAGTGTGGGTTGGAAAGGGTGCCTCTGGAGGTCCTCTGGTCCAGGATCTTGCTCAAAGCCAGGTCAACTTTGACAAGTGATAAGACATAAATGTTGGATCAGGTTGCCCAGGGCACGATCTAGTTAAGTTTTTTTTCCATGGGTGGTGTTTCCATCACCGCTGCTGGAAATCAGTTCCAATGTGTGACTGCACTCAGAAAAGTGAAAATCATCCCCTCTTCTTTTTTTTCAAACCGAGCAAACCCGGCTCTTTGAACCTGTCCATAAGTCATGCACTCCAACCTTCTCATCATTTTGGTAACTGTCTTCTGGACTTGCTCCAATGTATCAAAATTTCCATTGTTCAGGAGGGGCCGGTACTACAGGAACAATATGTTTAAGAGGTGCAAGGAGAATCAGCTAAAGTAACTTGCTCACAAAAAAGGACACACTAGTAGTGTGGTATTTTGTGGGTTTTTTTAGCTTTTTTTTTTTGTGAAGAATGTGGCTGACTAATTCCACGATTTTAGAGAGAGCTGGTAAGACCCTGATTCAATTCAATTTTTGGAACTTTTCAAGGTCCAAGAGCATTCACCTACTAAGCTGCATGTTGATCACTATATCTCAGAGTCTTGCCATCCATCTACTGTTATGCAAATAGTTGTAAAAGTACGGAGTTCCGTTTTTCCTTTATTTATTTATTTATTTTTTTAAATATTCCTTTTAGCTATGGATCAGGAAACAGCTTTTTGTTACTTACTGCCTTGATCAAGTACCACAGGGATAATTGGAAGATCTCAGCTCTGTTTATGATCCTTAGTAGAATGATATCAGTATCGGGTGACACAGAGATATATATGTGTATATATATTTAAGGTTTTTGGGTTTTGGTTTTTTTTTTTTTATTGTGTTCTTCAGTATGGTTTACCTACTGTAGCAAAGGAACCAGTTTGGTTCTGTTTTTTCCGTACTAATGTGGAATAGGCTGTGTTGACAGCATTGTATTACAAAGGTATAAAAGTAATATCCTGATGAAGACAGCAGAATAATAAAACGCTGCAATTGAGTTACATGTTGGTAAATTCCCTATAAAAATTCTGCTAGATACAGAGTCTGTATGGTTTTGCTGTAATCAAAAATAATATTGGCTAGCCAAAGTTATGAATATATTAAAGAAGAGGATGGGTTTGAAATCAGAGGGAATTGCAAATATTCTTAAATGAGTGTAATATCTGTTCTTTTTGGATATATGCTCAGCTGATAATGTGGATTTTCTTTGTATATAGGTGTGTATTTACCTTTTCATTGGTGCTAAATTTACTCTTAGTTTCTTCAGATGCTTTAGTTTCAGTGCTTAGTCTCAGTTCCTGTAACACCCTGGGAATTCAGATGCTCTCCTGGCTACTTTGCAGTGTGCTAGAGAGGTCTCTGGTTACCAGCACTTACTCCTTCTCCCAGCCTCTATGATACCAGCAAATTGCCTCGTGTGTCTCCTGTCAACAGTGTTTTATCCTTTGGGTTCTCTGGAGGATGATGTACTTTTAAGAGACATGGTGAAGAAATGAAAGAAAGAAAATTTTGGAGACAGCAGGATAAAATCAAAATCCAATTTCTATCCTTCCATCTTGCTGATTTGCTTTACTTTTATATTTCCATTGACAACCATCTTACCGAGTATTTGATGTTGGGCTCTATTCTGGAGAGAGAGTCTTCTCCTGACAAGCACATTAGATTTTTAAAGCTGATTGTCTTTGGAACCTTCTACTGGAGCTGAGCTGACTTTTCTTAATTTTTCACCAAATTTATTTATTTTTGAAGTGTTTGACATAATCTTGATACTGTATTTATTGCCTTGTTTCTTTGTAGGTGAAACTGCTGGTATGTAGGAAAAGATTTGTTTGAAAGGTCAAAGATATATAGCTGTTTATAATTTCTTCAACAGTTGATTGACCTAATAGTAATTTTGGGGTGCTAGTCATATTGGCAAGAATAATTCCAGGCCTTCCTAGGCATACCATAATGTCTTGTTAGAACTGTAAATTTCTTTTTTATTGATCTGTGTTATGGAAGGTCAATTTAATAAGCTCAATTTAGCAGGAAGTGTAATGAAGCTTGCTCTGGGTTGAGAATGACTTTGCTAGTATATATTTTCATCATTATATGTATTTATAATTATGCGTAAATTTACATGTATCATATATAGAGTACATAAAAATATTATACTACTGAGTAAAACAGTTTTGATGGAAAAAGCCTGATAGTAAGACAACAGTAAGACAATTGAGGGAAGAAAATGACAAATTTATAAATAAAATGACAGACTTCTAATGTGGATAAACTTGGACAAATATCAGTCATTTCCACAAGAACCAGAAATTTTTGAAGCTGCATGCCAGTATGCCAGGTATTAGATTGCTTTCTTGGTGAGTACTTCTAATATACTGAAATAATTGTGCGATACTGTTATGCTCAAAATCTTGCTTATGGACAGAAAGAGGAATGTATCAGGCTAAGAATTTACTGTTTGTATCTTAACAGTCCAATACAGGAATCATTATTAATGCAGATGCAATTATTACAGAATAAAGAAAAAGAAAGAGAGAAAAATACTCTATACAGAAGAAGAATCACTAATAAATACAGTTAAAATTGTTATACACACACTTCCTATTTTCTACTTGTTATCCTGGTGTTATGCTCACCCTCCCACTGCTCCTCTGGGTCCTAAGATTGGCCTTTTCACTGTGGTGGTGTAGTGAATTGTTAGTATCTGGAGACCTTCACCTAGAGAAATAGGACGTTGATGTTCTCCCCAGCCCCCAAAACACTCGAGGCCATTTTTGTTTGCTAAACACATTTTTATGCGTTGGGTTTTTTTTTCCACTCAAGCTCCACATTGCATCCAAATTTAATATATGTGGTACTTTTTTTTTTGTACATTAAATTCTTGTTTTCTTTGTTACCCCTGAAAGCTCTTTTTGTCCAGCTCCAGGTCTGAATTTCTTTGGCTGTTAGTGAATAGCTGTGGGGTCTCCAGTGCTAAGTGTGTGCCCCATCTCTCACCATCCCACACCAGTAGTCCTATCCATTGCATCCTGTGTCTCCACTTCGCAATGTTTCTGTTATCATACCAGGCATGTGTTTCTCTCACTATGTTAGTCAGAAATATCTCATTCTACCTAGTACACCTGCTTGCTGCTACTACTGTCTGTATGAAACTATGGTTGTGCCAAACAGAGGTAACAGAAATAGATCAATAGGCGTAGCCACCAGGTCAGAAGAAATTTTGCTATTACAGCTACAGTAAGTCAAAGCGAAGTTGCAGGCAGGTCAGGACAAGTTCAGAGCAGGCATAGAATCGTAGGATGGTTTGGGTTGGAAGGGACCTTTAAAGGTCCAACCCCCTGCTATGGGCAGGGACATCTTTAACCAGATCAGGTTGCTCAAAGCCCCGTCCAACCTGACCTTGAACACTGCCAAGGATGAGGCATCCACAGCTTCTCTGGGCAACCTGTTCCAGTGTCTCACCACCCTCATAATAAAGAATTTCTTCCTTATGTCTGATCTAAATCTACCCTTTTTCAGTTTAAAACCTATCCTCTTTCAGTTTAAAACCTATCCTCTTTCAGTTTAAAACCTATCCTCTTTCAGTTTAAAACCTATCCTCTTTCAGTTTAAAACCTATCCTCTTTCAGTTTAAAACCTATCCTCTTTCAGTTTAAAACCATTGCCCCTTGTTCTGTCACTATAGGCCTTGGTAAAGTCTCTCTCCGTCTTTCCTTTCAGCCCCCTTTAAGTACTGCAAGACCACAATAAGGTGTCCCTGGAGCTTTCTCTTCTCCAGGCTGAACAACCCCAAATCTCTCAGCCTTTCTTCATAGGAGAGGTGTTCCAGCCCTCTGACCATTTCTGTGGCCTCCTCTGGACCTGCTCTAACAGGTCCATGGGTCTTTCTTGTGCTGGGGACCCCAGAGCTGGATGCAGGGCTCAGGGGAGGGGGTCTCATGACTGGAGCAGAGGGGCAGGATCACCTCCCTCTATCTTCTGGCCATGCTTCTTGTTATGCAGCCCAGCGTACGGTTGGCTTTCTGGGCTGCACATTTCTGGCTCGTATCTAATTTTTCATCTACCAGTATCCCCATGGCAAGCCTCAGTCCTGAGGTCTTGCAAGTTCAGAACAAAGCCAGTGGCTACATGGTACTTAAACAAGAATTGAGGTGGTTTTTAGTTTAAGAAGCTCTGTTACAGAAAAGGATGTGTAAGCTGAACTAGCTTGGGCTCAGGTTTCAGATGCACATATATACAGTAATTGAAAGTAGCATTTGTTTGGTTTGTTAGTATGCGATTCCTTAATACTTTTGTCTAAATATGAGGGGAGAAAAGAAACAACTACTTTCTTGTCACTCCACATGCCCAAACTTCTGAGTGCTGCAATGATAACAATACATGACAGTAAATTTTAAATGATCAAAAAATGTGTTTTAAGTACTTGTTGCCATAGATGCATTCTGAATGACTAAAATCTGCTGTTGTTCGTGGAGGCTGCTTATCTTGTGATAAGGAAGGTTAGGATAGAAAAGAAGGATAGCGGAAATACCTGCCAAAAGAAGTTACCAAACCTGCATTTCCCAACAGATTTATTGGTCATTAATCTCAGTAGCTTTTGCCCTTGTATCCTTGATCCCTTCTGACCACTTTGCATTAGCATGAAAAATGCAATCAGAAGTTGAACCTCTGCCCACCTGTCTTGTTCTGCAATCCTTCTTCCCTCATTCATGTTCTAAAGGGTTCATTTATATTCACTATTTCACCTCTCACAAAGTGAATTTCTTCCAGGATCCACTCCCATGAGGTTTATGGTTTCTGCTGTCCACTAAAACTACATTCTCTGAAGTCCTGTATTACTTCTTCCTAGCAAAGGTCAAGATCACTGCTCAGTTCTCCTTTATCCATGACGTGTTGTCCAAGCACTGTGCATATCTGCTATTTCAGTAATTGGCCGGTTTGACACATTTGTTTCTTTGAAATGAAATGCTTGATACTCATTTAAATAAATACTCATCTTTCTGAAGCTTTATACACCCATGCTTTTTCTCTGGCACATAGAATAAAATTTGTTTCCTCTCAAGTTATTTTTACAATATATTGCTCTACTGAGTATATCTCACCTCATATTTCAGATACTGTTTATGATCCCTTAAGGAAACAGTTTCTGGGTGTACAGCTGTGTAAAACAGTGCTGCTTATCTGTCATTAAAGGTGTTTCTGTCTTCATTCCACCTCATATGTTGGTGGAGTCTGGGAATGCCTAACAGCGTAAGATAATGTATCATCACTTCTGAGTACAAAGGTTTCATCTCTTCTGAGGTTTCTTCTACCATTTAACTTTATTTTCACTTTTGTAATTTTTGCAGGCTGATCAGCGTGCATTATGGACTTCAGGATCTTGCAGAAGGCTTTCACCCTGGTTTCTCCTATATAGTGCTCAACTTCTTACCAATTTTATTTTTTGTTATTTTTGTTACATGCAGCTCTTGACACCCATTGTTATTCAGCCCTATTGTTCAACCCTTTGAAGATCAGATACCACTTTTTTCAAGTTTGCTTATTCTAATGACCTGCTCTTGCTTTTTTTCTCTTTTCCCTTACGGTTTTTGCAGCAATTTTTAACAAGCTTTGACAGTTAGGAATACGTATTTTATGTTGTTTGAAAGCCATCCTGTCTTATACATGACATGCAAATGTTTATCCTCAATGGTTATAAAAAATGACCCTGGCTAAAATGAGAATGGAAAATGCTATCTAATATTTTCAAGATTGCAGAGCAATCAGTAGTTTCTGAGTCTTCAAAGAATAATTAATAGAATGCAGTAACTCGGACAGGCTTTTAACATGTTTATTGTAATATTTTGTTTGTCTGTGTGTCACATTTTGTAGGTCTGCTCACACACTTCAGCCTTCTTCAGGGGATGAAATCTCCACTAATGTGTCTGTCCAGCTTTACAACGGAGAGACCCAACAGCTTATCATTAAGTTAGAAAATATTGGAACAGAACCACTGGAGAAACTAGAGGTCACAGCGAAAACAGTCAACACTAAGGGTGTGTATGCTGATTTATACTTAGAAATAATAATGATCGCTTCTTCTCTGATAAAAGGGGAACTAGTTGTGTTATGCTCATTTTAGGTCAGTTTAGAATAAATATCATAATCCCTGTTAAGGAACTGGAATCACTGTTTGATTTTATTGGAGGAATATAGAAATGAATGTAAGAAAATGTAGAAAGAAATATAAGAAACTGTAGAACCATCTGTGTGTCAAAGGGTCATCTGCTTTTTGGAAATCTAGATTTCATTTTAATGTTACTTGGAAAAATAAATCCTGCGGCAATAACTAGTTAAAAAGTAAGAATCTTGGGTCTAAATTATTTTCTCCTTATGCCTAAATAAACTGATTGGTTAATTAACTAAATTACCATTAGCAGTAATGTTGTCCTACTTGAGGGATTAGAACTAAATAAGCCTACCTCTTTCTCACTCAGTGAGCAGTAAGAAAGAGATGGGATAAAAGACTTTAAAAAACAAGGCAATACATAAAATAAGCTATTGTGAGTTAAAAGAATAATGGAAGGTATGGAAGAAATAGAGTACGTCTGCTTCCAGTTATTTCTCCTAAAATACTCTATATGTATTAGTATTAAAAAGTGGTCCGATAGGTGAATCTTGTTTTTGTTTTGTGTGTTTTATTGCTTTTGGTTTGTCGTCTGAGGCACAGTTATGAAAATGATATTAGCACAAGAACTGCAGATGACAAGCAAGATATAATCTTTACTTGCAATAGAAATACCTTATTTTACTGCCGGTTTTATTCTGTCAGTGCCAGAGTATTAAAATGCAATGTGATACCTGGTGATTTTTGTTCATTTTGGTATTCGAGCTCGTGATATTTTTTTCAACAGAGTAGCCTCTTGTCTGCAGCCTGAGAGAATAGGAGTTGCCAATCAATCTAAGAATAGATTTTCTGTCTGAGACTTCTTACCAAGAATAATTTTAGAAAAAAAGTATGATGACTTACTGTTCTTTTTTTAGTAATTCCAGTGTGCTCCTACTGTGCTAGGTGCTGTATGTATGTAATGAGAAGAACAAATACAGCACGTGTGTGAAATGGTGAAGTTTATGTAATGAAATGTATTAAATGGTGGAATGTATGGGCCTCTGAATCAGATGTTAATCAGACTCTTAATACATAACATTATGCAGTTAATTGGTTCAAAAATTTGAAAAAGAGACTCTTGTCAGCTTCAAAACCTTCATAATCTCTCAGAACTTTTGTTAAGAACTGGGGGAAAAGGAGAAAAATTCCTCACACAGCTATGAGTTCAGTAAAACTTTAATTTTACTTCATCCTTCATTTTCTTTCTCTATTGAAAAATTTTATCATGAACCCTCTTAGATGTTACAAAGCATGCTAATAATTGTCTTTATCAGAAAAAGGAAAATTTCTCATGATTAACTTAAGCATACTCAAAAAACCGCAACACTTAAATTGCTATTTCAGAAAAATAGCTAAGAGAGCAAGTTTTGAGAGGCACCAAATGATAATTTGTTCTGAGAATGTGAGAACCATGCTATCAGAATCCTAGAATCTTAGAAGTCTAAGTGGGCAGGGACCTCTGGAAATCGTCTCCACTTTATTGGAGGAAAATATGTACTTAAATAAGTACGACTTTTTACATGACTGTCTGCTGTGGGTATGACATAAAGCGCTGAAAAACGCTATCCATGGCAAAAGAACTAATGGTCCACATTAAGCATGTAATAATTATGTTATTTCAGATGTGGTTGCACGTAGGTCTTGCAAAGGATGGACCTTTGCCTTTTTTAATGGACTCTCTTCCCTTTAGTTATTATCTTAAATTGATAGGAATGCGTAAGGAAGGACTCATGGTACAGTGTGACATGTGACACGGGATTCTCATGATCAACAGGGAACTAAATATTTGTCATGTCAGCAGCTCAGTTTGGTCAGTGAATACTACATGCATAGAAATAACGTGGATACGACATAAAACCATGTCTAATAGCAACACAAACTCTTAACTTATTATCTTATATCAAGTTGAGAGCATATCCAGACACTTAGGAACTATTTGTAGTGCATTAAGAAGTTGTCTCTTGGATGTTCTTTACTGCTCCTTAGCTGAAATGTGCCTCTGATTTCAACTGCTCAAGGTCTCCTTGAAAGCTGTTAGGCATCTTCATCTGCCATGACCACAGCTTGCCTGTCAACTTGGGAGCCCATGAGAAGTTGTCCAATTTCAGCCAAATAGAGAGAGCTTTCAATCATCCTTGGTTTCACCTGATTTGCTTTGGTTCTTTTAGTCTTGGCAGTTGCTTGTAAATCTTGTGCAGCAGCTACATGCATGCTTGTCTGTCTTCCATGTTCATACCTTCTGTTTCTGGGGCCACAACTTTTAGCACAAAGATTAATGCTGTAAATGACAACCATGCTCATTTTTTGGTGTAAATTACTGGATAGGATTAGCTGTTGCATTGCAGTGACCTGACTTCCCTCCTTTGTTGTGTTAGCTATAGCCAGTCACTTTTCTTGAGGAAGCCCACTTCTGTTTTCAGTGGTGTCTTGTTAATGAGAACCTCTGGAGATCAGGCTTTCCAACTTGCCTTCCCTTAGTTCCTTTCTTCTGTTTCTTTCAGGTGCATCTCTTTAACTTTTCCACTCTGACCCTCAGATAAATGAACAGAAATTGCAGCTCACCCTGTGCAGTTTGTAAAGGACATCACAGGGTTTTTGAGTCCTTTAGCAGCCATGCATTATGGAACAGATCCTGAGGCAAATCAGCAAAAGGAACCTGTCATGTTGCCACAATAAATATGTCTGTCATGTCTTTTAATGTCTCATTGCACCACTCTGTCTACCAGGTCATGGCATCTGTAGGTTGGACATCACATGTATACTGTGAAGGTCAATTCTGCGTCACCTAATATTGTCCCTCAAGAGGTCAGATGGTCTAATACTTTTTTTAGAGTGATGACATGTGCAAAGGGGGATGCCTTTCTATCCTTTGTCTCTAGTCAGCTCTTGTTAGAGGCTTGTTATGTCTCATTTAGGGGGTGCGCTCTGAAAGTTTTGATTACTCAACTGTTTGATCCACTTGGGCAAATGCGGCACTGGTGTTTTCAAACTTGAAGCGTTGAGAAGAGCGTGCCAGATGTTCTTGTCAGCCTCACAGGTTGTTAGGCTCTAGTAGTGAGTGCCAGCTGCACATGCTGAATGAACTTGGATGATAAAGCAAAACCTCACTGATCTTTCTTTCTTAAAAGTGGTTTACCTCTGGAGTTTAAACATAGATAAATAAATTCACCTGTCTAGCTGTATTCTTCCCATGGTTTTTGAACACATCTGCTTGCAGTCTCAGCTATTTAGCTGTGTCAGACCACAAATGAAGAGTCTACTCTGAGGTCCACATAACCCATTTTAAGAACTGTGAATATCCTGGAATAGATCTATTTACCTTTTTTTGCGAAACAAAACTGTAAAGGCTTTTAAATCAGAGTTGGGTTATGTTCCACAGAGTTGTGAATGCAGACAAGCTTTTCTCCAGATAGTTCAAATGTCCTTGTGAATGTAAGAACAATGAGGAACATTGGTAATCCAGGCCCAGCCTAGCTGCTGTGGTTTTACTATTTGCATTTCTCAGATTAAGTCTCTTCCTCTCTGCCCAAACTGGCTGAACAAGGTCACGATTTTGTATTATTCTTACTAACTCTTTTTTCCACTCAGGACAAACGTCAAACGGGTCATGATTTTAGAGCATTTTATTCCCTCCTTTTAGGGATGCTTGCTAATTGCCTGAGGAAACTGCAAGGTATGTTTACATTTTAAAGAACATAACAAGTCCTGCAAGTTCATTTCTATCTACCAGATCTGGATTCAAAATATTCTGGATTGTCTCCTCAATTAGAAAGAGCCTGTTTTTCTCCAGTCTCAAAGGAAAATTAATAATAATATCAGTACACTGCCTAGGAGCTGATGAACTGTTAGTGCTTTTAACCCTATAATTCTAGTGTGCACACTCTACAGGTCCTTATTTTATAAAAAGGTGGCGGATACTCTGCAATACTTTAATTTTTACTAGAATTTCATGCATTTGGAAAGTTAAGATGTATGAGTGCCAATGCCTGTGCATTTAAAGCTGATAGTTGTTTTGAGGTCCGTGTGAAGCATCAAGAATCAGACGTGCAGATTACCGTAGAAGCCTGAAGAACTTTGTTACCTTGAAGCATATCAGATTTCTGTCTTCAGGTGTCTGATCATACTTGCATTTAGCGTACCTTTGTGCACGTTGAATTCAGACATGTGGAACACTCTGGTCTCACCCTTCTGTGCTAGTTGGAAACTGCTCTTGCATTTATAGTTCCTTTCAACCGCTCAGTTTGAGAAGCAGCAGTTATTTTGGTTACGTTCTACTCAGGCTTCACCTTTCAGCTGTAGTCTGTTACCTTTTCTTTCTACTTTGTTTTTTTTAGTCCTTACCTTTAAACTCTTTCCCTCAGTTTTCCAAGTGTTTTAATTAAATTGTAGTGTTGCTTGTGTCCCACTGGACCTCCAGGCTGAACTGCATCTTTTTATCCACCTGTAGGGTTTTTTTTTTTGCAAGTCTGTGTTCGTCAGGAATCCACGACTGTGCTCAGGACACTATTTCATGTGCATACAGCTTCTCTGATGCTTTAAGTTCAGGTTGCAATTTTGAGGCTCTCTGCGGATGATAGTGCTGTGGTTAATAGAGGATTCAGTCCCATCCTGTCCCATTTTCCTACAGAAACACAATGACATAAGAATTTAATGTCCTCTAGGGCTGATGGTTCATCTAGCTCAGTAGTCACAGGACATTAGGGGATGCTGCTTAGGGAGAGCATGCAAGTCTCACCACTGTTTAAGTGAAGTAATTCCTAAGTTCATCATTTTATGGTTTTGTTTGTTGACTGGTTATCTTAAGAGCAAAGAATTTTGAGAAAAATGGTAGCAGTCCTATACATGTTGTTCTATACAACAGCATGAATTTGTGATAGTGGGAAGGTAAAAACAGATTATGGCTTCTCATAATGGTTTTAATAGCCATGTAAAGTCAAATATCCAAAGAAAGAGTTAAATTATTTCAGTAAAGAACTTTATAGATGTGCTTACATCAAAATAAACCATTTCTGCATCTTCTGAAAGAGATTGAATTAGGAAAATTAGAAACATAGCAAAAAGCCAGATTTATCTGGGAATTTAAGATTGAAAAGAATTGAGGAACTGAGGTTTTTGTGATCAGAAGACTTGCTTTTCTATCGAGTTTCTCTATGGAAAATGACAGTGTGGATTTTTTTTTTTGGTAGACCTTAGAATCTGTTAAGAGTTAGATTGGGTTGGGGTAACCCTGAGTTAGATCGTGGGTAAGTTATTATATGATATTCATTATGATTGTAGTGATATAGTATCCAGTAGAATGTTAAAACAAATTACTGATATAAACTCTTGACTAACAGTCGCTTGTAACTTAAGTTGTTTGCTAAACACAAATTTTAGACTCTAGAAACAACTGAATGCAGGCATGCTCCAAGTAAGAGTCTTTCCCACTGAAATGAAAGGTTTGAAGCCCCATGCTGTAGTATAATTCACTGTAATAATGATTACTGAACAAGGTGAAGAAACCATTATTTAATTATAAACCAGCATCAGATAAATACAAACTAGATTTTTCTCTACAGCTTAACTTTCAGCTCGAGCATTTAGACCTTGTCTTGTAGTTACATCTGTTAAATTAGAGAATATCTGCAAGGGCTATTCTCACTTAGAAAGTCTTTTCACTCACAATATCTTCAAATAAATCTCCTATTTAATAAAAATACATTTTGGAAACAACTGAAGATATACTCAAGTGCTTGGGATATGTCATTCTTTGCTTACATTGAGGAAAAACATCTTTTTAGCATATTATGTTTGTACTCATCAGGAAAAAGGTACAGAGATTGCTGTACTTGTTAAGCTACTTCTTTTCTTGAAAATAGGAGAAAATCAGAACAGGGATACGGTTACAGCTAAATCATTACATGAGATAGAGGTGACTTTAAAGAAACAATTATTAGGAGGATTTTTTATTTTTACCTCATCTTTCTTCTTGTAAAGAAGTCTATAATATTGATTTGATGTGGAAAGACACAAGACAACAATTGAAGGTCTGTGAGAAAAATATATCTTAGGCAACGCAGTTATTGTTTAGGTAGAAGTTAATGGAAAAATACTTTTTTTTTTTTCCTTCCCTAGGTGCAGTTGTTTCTGTGCAAATCAACAAAGTTTGGACTGGAATTCTAATTATTTTTTTTTCTGAAGGATCCTTAATTCTAGATTATAATTGTTAAGGCAGTCTTTCCACCCCATTTTCTCACACGTGGATCTTTGGTGATGGTTTTGGAAAGGCTCTGAAATGGCAGTACACTAACTTGCTCTTAAGTACAGTAGCCTGGTATGAAGTAGAGATGAACTTTGTGACTTTCAGTTGTCCTTGCATTATCCAAGCAGTGCTCAAATGGTATTTAAATGAGCCTTTAGAAAAATTATTCAGTGTACTTTGGAGATAGTATGCATTGCTACAATAAGTTAATAAATGTATTTTTAGGATTCTGCCAGTCAAACCATCATGTTTATTTTATGTATTAATAAGAGTTTTCTGCAGTGTTCAACATTGTACAGTCCTGCAAATATTAATAAATTTATGGATGTGGTGGGTTGACCCCAGCCAGAACTGAAGCCCCCACCCAGTTGTTCGCTCAGCCCCCCATCCTCTTCTCCAGTGGGGTGAAGAAGAGGATTGGAAGGGCACAAGTGAGAAAACTCATAGGTAGAGATAAAGATTGTTTAATAAACAAGGGAAAAAGGAAGAAAAAATCAAAACAAAATGACATTTTATGGCATGGAATATCTCTTTGGTCAGTCTGGCTCAGCTATCCTGGTTGTGTTGCCTTCTAGCTTCTTGCCCACTGCTGGCCTACTTGCTGGCAAGGCTGAGCAGGAAAAGAGAAAGTCCTGATGCCATGCAAGCACTGCGCAGCAATAGCCAAAAAGCTGGTGCGTTATCAGGTTAGTCACAAATCCAAAAGACAGCACTGTACAGGATGCTATAAAGACAATGAACTCCGTCTCAGCCAGACCCTGTACCATTGTAGAAGTGAAGATTGTGAGATTAAGTGATTTTTATTTTTTTTTTTCTTCCCCACACAGGGATCATTCATAAAGTGCCTAAAAGAAATAAGATTTTAGCAGATACTTCTTGTGTCTATTTAGTATCTGAAGTAAGATTAATGCACGAAGAAGTCACTATGTTGTACCATTCTAGTATGTTACAACCTTTTCTGTCATTCTAAAAAAAATTATTTTTGTCTTGCATAAAGTTCATAAATACCACTTTTTTATTGCTTTTGCACAAGGTACTTAAATGTCTGTGACGCTAGTTCTTGGCATAGTTCACAACTTGAAATAGCACATAACTAACTTACCCGTCTTCCTGAAGCGTACTTAACCCTCTGCTCCTCTTTATTTCAAGATGGATCTTTCAATGTTACTGGAGTACTAAGGGGACTGAATGACTGGATAAAGTATTTGAAATGTATTGATAAATAGTAAATATTGGGTTTTTTTTCTCATACTATCTTCTGGCATGTTAGGTTTGGGAGAGAGGAGCTAATAATTACAGATGCCCTATCTCATACGGACCAATGATAAATAATTTAGCAAGCAAGTATCTTTTAAGACAAACTAATCCTGAATGTTTGGGGTTTGTATATTTTATGTTTCTCAGTTTTGACAAAGGACTTAATATTATAAAAAAATGAAAGCCAGTGGTCTTCCTAGCCTTCTCTGTTGCTCAATAAGTAACTAAATAATGATGTTACAGGTGCTTTAGAATTGTAACTGATATATTTTGGTGTAATATTTTGATGAAACGTTATTGCATTCATGTGACATTTCCTGAGTTGAAGTCTGTATGATTCAATATTATACGAACTTTCAGGTCCCTTTCAGGCTGTATTTGAAGTGTATATTTAATCCTGTCTTATTGTGCAATATTTTTTTTCTGGTAGTTCTATTTTTCACTTAAATGCATATTTTGAGCTTTGTGATCTACATGCTTCCAGGTGAATGTCAGTAACCTCTCTAATATCTTTACATTAATTTGTAATGCCCTAATTGCAAATAGTTTGGGATTTAAACAGAAAATGACAAATCAGTTAATAATCTCTATAACAGTTACAAACTTCTTAATGAAGGGGTTATGCTTATGAAGTATTTACTTATTTTAATACAGAGAAGCTGTATGGGGACTTCTTGAGTTGGAAGCTAGAAGATACCCTCTCCCAGTTTCCTCTAAAACCTGGAAAGATTGCAACTTTTACTGTAAACATTAAAGTGAAGCTGGACTTTTCATGCCAAGAAAATCTCCTGCAGGATCTCAGTGATGGTGAGTTTTTAATTTCTCCGTGCTTAAGAGAGTTGTATGTTCTTCTGAGAAACACTTCTGGTGTTTCTGGTGCCATTCATTTTAAAATATGGTGTGTGGTGTGGCTGTGTATTTTCATATTTGTGTCTTGTAATGCAAAGACAACTGTTCAGTGAGCTGTATGGATTCAAGTTCTGTGACAACTATGGGCATCATAGTCTGACCAAACTTTCCCATCATAAGACCTTGCTCTGCTGTCTTTTTAAATCTTCCTTGACAGAGAGTGGGTTTGTTGTGTCTCTTTGTATCCTTATCTTATGAAGATGAAGAAAACTAGTTTGCACACATCAATGGGTTTTAAAGAGAAATAATGTTAAGTTAATCATTTAGTTATGTGCGCTGGCAGCCCAGAAGGCCAACCGTACTCTGGGCTGCATCAGGAGGAGTGTGGCTAGCAGGTCGAGGGAGGTGATTCTGCCCCTCTACTCAGCTCTGGTGAGACCTCACCTGGAGTACTGCGTCCAGCTCTGGAGCCCTCAGCACAAGAAGGACATGGAACTGTTGGAACGGGTCCAGAGGAGGGCTACAAAAATGATCCGAGGGCTGGAGCACCTCTCCTATGAGGACAGGCTGAGAGAGTTGGGCTTGTTCAGTCTGGAGAAAAGGAGGCTACGGGGAGACCTGATTGCGGCCTTCCAGTACCTAAAGGGGGCCTATAGGAAAGATGGGGAACGTCTTTTTAGTAGGGCCAGCTGTGTTAGGACAAGGGGAAATGGTTTTAAACTAGAACAGGGTAGGTTCAGGCTAGAGGTAAGGAAGAAATTTTTTACAATGAGGGTGGTAAAACACTGGAACAGGTTGCCCAGAGAGGTAGTGGAGGGCCCATCCCTGGAAACATTCAAGGCCAGGTTGGATGGGGCTCTGAGCAATCTGATCTAGTTAGCAGTGTCCCTGCTCACTGCAGGGGGGTTGGACTAGATGACCACTAGTGGTCCCTTCCAACCCTAAACATTCTATGATTCTATGATTCTATGATTATCCGGGATTGTAGAATTCTTAATGGTGGCTGACTGCAGGTTGGCCAGAAGTGACATACTGCAATATAGGGCATAATCCCCCTAATGTTTGTACTGTACAGAAAGCTTCATATGCTTAAACTCATAATTTCTTTGGAATAAAAAAAAACAAACAATGTTTGCTTGTATTAGAATTATCTGGAGTTACAAGTACCAGATACTTGTAATAAAGATTTCCTTTTTATAATAAACACACAGTCTCACTGGAGTATTTGCTATACTCTGTATTTTTTCAATTGCCTGATATATTTACACTGATTGAATTAACTTAACAAAACAAGATATTCCTGTATTTAAAAAAAAAAAAAAAAAGTATCATTATTTGGACTGTTTCCCAGGATCCAGTTGCAGGTATGCAAAAAATAAATATTTTCAGTACAGAAAAAATACAACAAAATTAGATGCATAATTTACTGAAGTTGAGTGGGACTGATTTCTGTGAGTTATCTTACAAATGCATTTAGACAGATATTATATTAATTGTTACTAAAGATTAAGAGACTTCGTTGTTTTTTAAACCTCTCTGGTGTAAAATATGCAAATTACAAAAATACTTTAAGATTTAATTACACAAAACCCATAGTGTTGCTACACTAAGGTTTACTTTTGAAAAAGCTGATAGTGAGGAAAGACCCCACCCTGAGATTGCTGTGAAAACCTAGCTGCCAAGGAATTGAGGCTTTGAGAAATGCCCTTGGTAGGAAATGCAGTTCCATGCAGCACAAATTTGTGCTACAAATTTACAGAACTAGGGGAGGGGAGCAGATTGGACGCTAACTGTAGGATGATTTTAGCGTTTCAGGGGCAGATGATACTGCACTACGTACAGATCCCTGAACTCTCGGTCCTCATGTACCCTGTAGATGACCTCTCTTTTCCATGGAAATTCCAATGGCTTATTGCTTCCTTATTTTATAAGAACTTCTATTAGATCATAATTCAACTCCTTATCTATTACATAGTATGGAAAGGGTATAGGCCAGTTGATTCAAAATTTAAATTGAACCTCGGAAACTTAGCTTTTATTTATTGACAGATTAACATTAATAGGCTATGATTCTATGATTCTATGATTATCCGGGATTGTAGAATTCTTAATGGTGGCTGACTGCAGGTTGGCCAGAAGTGACATACTGCAATATAGGGCATAATCCCCCTAATGTTTGTACTGTACAGAAAGCTTCATATGCTTAAACTCATAATTTCTTTGGAATAAAAAAAAACAAACAATGTTTGCTTGTATTAGAATTATCTGGAGTTACAAGTACCAGATACTTGTAATAAAGATTTCCTTTTTATAATAAACACACAGTCTCACTGGAGTATTTGCTATACTCTGTATTTTTTCAATTGCCTGATATATTTACACTGATTGAATTAACTTAACAAAACAAGATATTCCTGTATTTAAAAAAAAAAAAAAAGTATCATTATTTGGACTGTTTCCCAGGATCCAGTTGCACGTATGCAAAAAATAAATATTTTCAGTACAGAAAAAATACAACAAAATTAGATGCATAATTTACTGAAGTTGAGTGGGACTGATTTCTGTGAGTTATCTTACAAATGCATTTAGACAGATATTATATTAATTGTTACTAAAGATTAAGAGACTTCGTTGTTTTTTAAACCTCTCTGGTGTAAAATATGCAAATTACAAAAATACTTTAAGATTTAATTACACAAAACCCATAGTGTTGCTACACTAAGGTTTACTTTTGAAAAAGCTGATAGTGAGGAAAGACCCCACCCTGAGATTGCTGTGAAAACCTAGCTGCCAAGGAATTGAGGCTTTGAGAAATGCCCTTGGTAGGAAATGCAGTTCCATGCAGCACAAATTTGTGCTACAAATTTACAGAACTAGGGGAGGGGAGCAGATTGGACGCTAACTGTAGGATGATTTTAGCGTTTCAGGGGCAGATGATACTGCACTACGTACAGATCCCTGAACTCTCGGTCCTCATGTACCCTGTAGATGACCTCTCTTTTCCATGGAAATTCCAATGGCTTATTGCTTCCTTATTTTATAAGAACTTCTATTAGATCATAATTCAACTCCTTATCTATTACATAGTATGGAAAGGGTATAGGCCAGTTGATTCAAAATTTAAATTGAACCTCGGAAACTTAGCTTTTATTTATTGACAGATTAACATTAATAGGAAAGAGATCAGAGGCATGGAAAATGAGAAAGAATTTGATCAATGTAATCAATATAACTTGAAAAATTTATGGAAGTCAGTATTTTAAAAGATAGACATTACTGTCTTTAGTGCCAGTTCTGTTGATTTCATTTTTGTAACTTCCAAATATATAAAAAAAATTTTCCTTCATTCGCCCTGTCTCCAAAAAGCTTTAAAGGCACTCTGAAGCTGCACTTGCCCATCAGTTTTTCAGTACGTACAAACAAAATATTCAACAGAAGGAGACGATAACATACGTACTTTTCTGTATTGACATAGAACAGTTGTGGGATAGTGAATTTGGGCCTCTGTTTTTTTACCTGTATCTAACTTCTATGGGACCACATAAGAAATCTCGGAACATTTTTACCTTGTTATTTCTGCCTGCAGCTTCCTTGAAAGGTTGTGTAACTGAAGCCCGAAAGCAATTCAACCTTTTCTCGTTCAGTGATAATAAAGGAGTAGAATCTGTTACTGTTTCTTTAGAACTTTAGTATCTTTGGGCGCCATGTATTGTGTGTACTTCGAAAGTATTATTAGAGATGCTAAGTACATTGACATTTTTACTTGCTACTGTAATTTTTTTTATATTGCTTTTAACTTTACAAATACTGTACTTTCTAAACAGGCAGGTAAGATCCTGATGTGAAGAACAGTAAAGAGCTAGAAAAATCAATGGCAACTATGACATGACTTTTAATCATATGGTAGCTATGGTACCTTTTTCTTTTGAAGACCAGATTTACAATGATGATCAAAATACTTCTGTCCTTTAAAAGTAATGCCCTTAACAGGGCATCTGTTACTTTGATCTCTTTTCATTTGCTGCTGAAATTGTTTCCTTTTACGCTGTTTGTAATAAGGACATAGTACAGAAAGGATAAATTGCAGATGTTTCTGATGATATACTTATCCAATTGGAAAGTAAACTAAGTTATCAATCAAAATTGCTGATCTAATTCTTGTGTGTTGATGGTATACTGTCTCATAAGGAAAAATGTTAGATGTTCTTCTAGATTAAAGGAAACAAAACCACATGAGTGGCTGTACAGGATCAGATCAATGACCGTCTAGTCCAATATCCTGGCTGTGATAGTGGCTAAGAGCAGATGCCTGTGCGAGAATATAGGGAGAATCATGAACATACATGCTGCTTTCCTTAGGCTCTTGGGCTCCAGTTGTTGTTAGCTCAGGAACTTCCAGAGCCTGATAAGTTTTCTCTGGTTTTAGGCATTGTTAGTCATCCTTAGTGGGTTTCTCATTCATAAAATTCTTCGTTCTCTGCGTCAGCACTGTACAGCATGCTGTGGCAAGAAGAATTGTAGCTAAATTACTTTTAGCAGCCTTGCACTTACTGGTGTCTTTCTGATATTACCTGTTTCTTGTATTGCAAGAAACAGATAACAGTATGTCATAGAATCATAGAATCAATAAGGTTGGAAAAGACCTCCAAGATCAGGTCTTTTCAGATCGTCCAACCGTCAACCCAACACCATCATGCCTACTAAACCATGTCTCGAAGTGCCATATCTACACGTTTTTTTGAACACCTCAAAGGATGGTGACTCCACCGCCTCTCTGGGAAGCCTGTTCCAATGCTTGACTACTCTTTCAATGAAGAAATTTCTCCTACTATCCAGTCGAAACCCTGACACAAGTTGAGGCCATTTCCTCTTGTCCTATCGCTTGTTACCTGGGAGTAAAGACCCATCACCCACCTCACTACAACCTCCTCTCAGGCAGTTGTAGAGGGCGATCAGGTCTCCCCTCAGCCTCCTCTTCTCCAGACTAAATAACCCCAGTTCCCTCAGCCACTCCTCATAAGACTTGTGCTCCAGACCCCTCACCAGCTTTGTTGTTCTCCTCTGGCCACGCTCCAGCAATGCAACATCTTTCCTGTAGTGAGGGGCCCAAAACTGAACACAGCATTCGAGGTGCGGCCTCACCAGTGCCAAGTACAGGGGCACGATCACTGCCTTGCTCCTGCTGGCCATGTTATTCCTGATAAAAGCCAGGATGCCATTGGCCTTCTTGGCCACCTGGGCACACTGCTGGCTCATATTCAT